ATGTAGAATGGCAGAAAAAGCTACATGGAAAAATTATAATTGTTCTATAAAATTGATGCTGATAATGTTCTTACCCCTTCATGATGACCTCCCACTTGCCTTCCTCTTTGGTGTTCATATAGTGGAAGGATCCAGTGTGGTAGTTTGGGTCTGTGCCCCCCATGACCAACTCTCCACCAGGGATATGTGTTGGGTCCCTTTTAGATACACACACACATATACATCCAAAGATATGGCTTGTGATGTAAAACAGATGTAGAATGGCAGAAAAAGCTACATGGAAAAATCATAATTGTTCTATAAAATTGATGCTGATAATGTTCTTACCCCTTCATGATGACCTCCCACTTGCCTTCCTCTTTGGTGTTCATATAGTGGAAGGATCCAGTGTGGTAGTTTGGGTCTGTGCCCCCCATGACCAACTCTCCACCAGGGATATGTGTTGGGTCCCTTTTAGATACACACACACATATACATCCAAAGATATGGCTTGTAATCAACTAGTACTGTTTAAATACATTTATTATTACACTATACAATAATGTAGTTTATAAATTAACATGCTCATATTAAATTCACAATATATGTCAATAAATGCTGACACTCACCTGCTGTAGTACACTGAGAAGACGTTCTGTTTTAGAACATGTTGAGACATGATGTGATCGAACACAGGTGTGATTCCATCAATGGCTACATCTGGATATCCCATCCCTAACACTCCATCAAACTTGGCAAAGATGAACGGGATCGCAGGAAGAGCTGTGGCCTCTGCAAAAACCTGCACCACTGGGATGCCACCCACCTAAAGAATTTAGAGGTCAAAGGTCAAACAGCTCAATACTATGTGCAATTACACTTCTGGTCTTCCATATTGCAGTCAATTTGTTTTAAAAATCAATCAGTATTTTGCCTTATTGTGGGTAAAATATTGTGCACAATCTGGACTTGGTTATCCGTTTATGTTTTGCTGTGCTTAACTTTTTATGTTAACCTGGATGGCTAAAAATATTTAGCCTGGGCCATTAAAATACCATTTCCATTATGTTAGTAAAGATATTCCTTTTGAACTCATTTCTTAACATTCCCAGTGTTTTACACTCTAAAGCCAATGGCTTTTAATTGTTACTCACGACAACCACGTCCCCGCTCAGAAATCCCCGGACGTTTCCAGAAGCGTACTGGATGGAGAATCCTGTGCCGTTGTAAATATGCGTGAGGGATCTGGAAGCATCGTACCTGTTGTGTGTGACTAAAGAGACATATGGAGAAAGGCAGACTGAGATGTCGGAGAAAATATGCAATTGTAAAATGTATGTGTAGATAATACAATGACTTCTTAAGATAAATTGTGATTGCGTTTAGCAAATCACTCACAGCAGGCTGTGTATAAAGGAGAACAGCTGTGTGAAGGAACCCAGAGGTTGGCAGAACCCGTGTCAAACACAACATTGAATATCTGAGCTGGTGAACCAATACTAATCTCACCAAAGTATTGAGTCTGGAAATCAACATAGAAATACACAATTAAAAATACAAAATTGTCTATATAAAACAGATTATTAAAAATGCAAAATTGCTCATAATTTTAGTTCTTTTCCATTTTTAAGACTGATTTACATCTAAGTAGTTGATCAGAGGTGTTGGAGCTGTGCCATTTTTGGGTGAAGGTTCGTCATATTTTGGCATAATCTCAGAAAACACTTGAGCTGGTGTGACACCCATTTCCTTCAAGGTTTCTCGTATGGAGGGCATTTTCTTCAGTTTTACTCTAGTGAAGAGGGAAATGTCTCATGTTACATTTATTATTTGTTTGTACAACTGATAAAACAGCAACATCAGATAGTAGTGTGTTTTATCTGATTTTAAAATGATTTTTCACTATTTTTCATGATTTTTCGTCATTTCAGTTAATGACATAAATACAATCCCCACATGGCAAAAATAGATATTATACATTTTGTAATGTATTTCAAAACTACTAAAATAGATTTTAAAATAGATTTTATATAGATATATTTTTTATAAATATATTTATATATATATATTTTAATTACTTACATTTCCTCGTATTTTGGCCATTTTGAAACATTTTTAAGAATTAAAAAAAAAACTACGGGCAAATATTACAGACTATTATGCTCAAATCAAGAGAAGCAGAAATCGTGATCACGATTAAACTACAACCCTATCTGAACTGAACCAACACTGAACTGACTTGAGCTAAATAATAATGCCATTGCCTTTTAGAGCTGAATCTGAAATGTCTCCATAGTTGCATTTCCATACCTGATTTATACTGTTTTCCTATTTATGTCTGTAAATCTGCTTTGACAATCTGTATTGTATAAAGCACTATAGGAATAAAGGTGACTTGACCTTCCTAAAATATAAAAGCAGCTATCTATTTTCATCTACAAAGATGCATGGGTCTGTATTAGAAAAAAAACATTGCATGATATTGTAAAGACGACATATTTCTCAAATTAAATAATTGGCTTTCATGTTGTTGTTGTATTAAATCCAGAGCAAAATATTTGTTGTGTTGACTTACCTCCATAAGGCCTGTGTGCTGGTCACTGAGAGTGACAGGACTAGAAGAGACAAGCAGTGCACTTTCATTCTTACAGATGGATCAAATCACTTTAACTACCCGATAACTAGTGTGCCAAACGTCTTGTGCCCAGACTCCTTCCCAAACTTCTCTCCTCTTTTACTGTGCTTTATTTGACAGACTTTCCTTCTTCCCATGTTTTTATACTATTTCTCCTACCGTCTGTTCTGACCTTGACACAAGCCCCTGGCTTCGCTGTCCTCTCACCCCTCCTTCTGATAAATGCTCCCTGAACACAGTGACCTCCTGGTCAAGGGACACACATCACACACAGTGATTTAAGATCACTTCACTTAATAAAATCATCATTGTATGGACCTGAAGGACGCAGATGTATGGAAAAAAACTGACAACAAACTGTGTAAATCATTAAAGAATATGACACATAAATATTACAATATTATCAACATATCGAAGAGCAACACATATCTGTCATATAATATCTGTTATTATACGACTGATGTGTGTTGCTCTACAATATATATTCCAGAACTGACGGTTTGTTTGTAAGGGCATGCAACCCTTAATGACTCTTGACCTTTCAACCTCGCCTAGAACTAGATTTCCCACAGTAATGGGTCAATCTCTTCCCCTGAAATTCCCTCATGGGACTCTCCATACATAGACGTCATCTTTTACATCTTCCTCTATTTTGCCTCTCCTGGACTCATTTTTAAAGGTGTTTCAGTGGGTTGGTCTTTTTTAAGGACTAGCAGGTTTATTCCTCAGACTACTCACTGAAGAAGATAGACTACACCTGCACAATAATTCTTCACAGTATGTTGACATTTAGTGTTTTGGAAAGCACCAACCCACCATGACAGTTTTCATCTTATTTGGGCTAGCAGCTGGCCCAGCAGATGCCTGTGAACCTGCCCACGGTGGCTAAAACTTACAGTAAGTAACATTAGATAGCCCTGGCAGATGCCCACTGGTTACATTATTTGACCTCAGAGTTCAAACTTGTTTTGCAGCTGCCATACAGCAATTGCCACTACTAACATTACATCTATATTTATATAAAAATACATTAAGTGAACTTATAATCAGCTGTTGGATGCCATTCTATGCACTTCTTGGCTAATATGATGGTGCCATCACAAATGGTTCTTGACACTTGCTGGCGCTATTCAGCTAAACAGCTGCTTATGTTGGCCAGGCAGTGTTTGCACTTACCCTTTTTTCAACCACTAGGTGTCCCATTGGTGTACTGGAAAATAGTCACACAGAGCATCAACTGATATTATCTTTTATTTACTACACCTTTATCTCATAATATTAATTAAGACTTATTTTGTGACAATGCTTAGGTACTAAACAACAAACTATTATTGTGTTTTCTTCTCTCAGTCAACACAACACAATTTAAGGCAAATGGTGGCTATTGGGCTGTTGAATGGACAGTGTATAAATTACATCTCAATTATTCATTACATTTTACATTTATATAGCGCTTTTCTAGGCACTCAAAGCGCTTTACATTGTCGGGGGGTATCTCCTCATCCACCACCAGTGTGCAGCATCCACCTGGATGATGCGACGGCAGCCATAGTGTGCCAGAACGCCCACCACACACCAGCTTACTGGTGGAGAGGAGACAGAGTGATGAAGCCAATCAGCAGATATGGGGATTGTTAGGAGGCCATGATGGTCAGAGGCCAATGGGCAAATTTGGCCAGGATGCCGAGGTCACACCTCTACTCTTTTCAAAAGACTTCCTGGGATTTGTAATGACCACAAAGAGTCAGGGCCTCGGTTTAACAGCTCATCCGAAGGACGGTGCTTGTTGACAGTATAGTGTCCCCATCACTATACTGGGGCATTAGGACCCACACAGACCACAGGGTGAGCACCCCCTGCTGGCCTCACTAACACCTCTTCCAACAGCAACCTAGTTTTCCCAGGTCTCCCATCCAGGCACTGACCAGACTCGGCCCTGCTTAGCTTCAGTGGGTGACCAGTCTTGGGCTACAGGGTGATATGGCTGCCGGTCACAATTCTTTGGTCAGTCAGTTATTTGAGGAATGATGACAGAAAAGTAGGCCTACTGCATGCTGTACATTAGGGAACTTCACATGTATGTGATTCACCGCTGTTTTCATTAAAAAATTGAATGTTTAGCAGTGTGTGTGCATGGAAAAATCATATCGATGTCGTGTAAAATGGCATTTTGATTGTCAGAAACAATATTGTGGCACTTTTTGCCGAGGTAGGTACAATATTCTTTGCTACTATTCTGATTCCTTCTTTAAGACACCCAATAAGAAAAGTACATAATCTTCAAATGTTCGTTGAATCCTTTCAGGTTTGTATTCTACGACAACTCAATCTTCGTTTTTACTGAGCGACAGAAGCACATCCGCTGTAGCACGTTCCCTCGCTGGCGCTGGCGGAAGTGGACGCGCGTCATTGGCTGTTGAGCTGCTCTTCAGAGCTGGTCTCGTGCGTTCATTCAAACGGCTGAGTTCAGGAGCGCGCGCGCAAGCAAAGGGCAAAGGGCTGATCTCCTTCGAGCTCAAATTCATGTTTCATCCGTCTATTCATGATTCTGTCAACTTAATGTAAAGGTAAGAAACGATTAAATATTATATAGATATTTTATATTTGGCCACCGCCAGCTGACAGCTTCGCCACAGCTAAACCGAACTAACCTTGTCAACTGAAGAAATAAGGCGGATGCTATGAGCTTATACAGATCCTTCAGCAAATTAACCTTTGCTCATTTTTAGGCAACAGTTGCCACTATTACAATTACTAGAAACTGCGTCTTGTAACGTGTCGCTTAAACCAGGAAAACCGTAATGTGTATTATGTTAGTTAGCACTGTGGCTACAGCAAACTGTTGACAAACTAACGTTAACGTAGTTTATAGGGTTTTGTCACTTTCAGAGTCTCCTTGTAAAAAGCCTCAAGGTTTAGACATCAATGTATTTTTAATAACAATGTGCTTTCGTTGACTGACCAACCCAATTGGTGCATTGAAATGAAGTATAATCAAAAACATCCTGCACTAATGTCAATAAACCACTAAATATAGACGCTTTGTGACAAAACCGGAACCTAAATCCAAAAATTGGCCCTGTTTGTGTTAATATGTGACTATGTGAGGCAGAAGTAAAGGAAGAACTGTCCGTGTGTCTGTTATTTTGAAACGCTCAGTTTACGCTGTCATATTGGGTGCTGTTAAAGGGACAGTTCACCCAAAGATGAAAATTCCGCCACTATTAATGAATGGTGACTCAGACCGTCATTCTCCTTGTGTGTTGTTCAGTAAAAACAAAGTCATGTGGTTTTGGAATAGCATGAGGTTGAGTGTATATTCTCATTTTTGGGTGATAACCCATGTAAATGTCATAAGATGGCATATTGCCTGCCACAGTGAAAGTGCAGAAGTCTTTTAAGCTGCTGGAGTAAATCTCATTCGACTGTGTCCTGCTGGTCTGATGCGAGACAGTCTCATTGAATGCCAGATTAGTAGCTCTGATAATCTCATAATAATGTTACATCTGAGGTCTTTGAGCGGCGCGGCAGGTTTTGAAGAAGCTTATCGGTTCGTCACCTTAGGACTGATAGGAATCTTATACACTTCACATTCAAAACCATGAATGTGAAAACTATAGTTACAGTAAGTGATAGTTCCTGTCATCATGCTGTTCCAAACCCATACTACTTTTTCTTCTGTGGCACAGAAAAGGAGATGTTTAGCACAATGGCAAAGCTGCTCTTTCCCAATACAATAAAATTATAGGGGATATGTGCTTAAAATATTATTCAAATGATCATGTTTCCAGTGATTTCCCAATTTGGCTAAAATGTTTTATTATATTACTATTGTAATATCACAGAAAAAAATGTATCTAGTATTTTAGAGAAATTCTATAATAATAATAATAATAATTGCATTTTACATTACACAAAAAAATTACGATACTAATATTTATGGCTGTCTTGATGGGTCTTTTTTCATTCTTTTTTAAAAAAATGGTAAATCAAATGGATCCTTTAAATCTTAAATCAACAGCTGGTTAATAAGTGCTTTTCATTCATCTTTATAGTTTCTCTATTATTCTTGGTGTGAACGGGCCTTGACATCTGTCTTCTCACAGACATGACGAGACAGGAGTGAAGTATCTGTTCTTGGCTGGAGCGTGAGGTTGGGCAGAGGATGCTGGAGGAGAGTGATGGAGAGTTGGAGGGGATCGGTGGAGGAGGAGGAGATGGGGGGCTTCAAGCAGAGGTGGAGAGGCTGGTGGCAGAACTCCAGGAAGCCAATGAGGAGAAGTTACAGGCTGCACGGTACGGCCTGGCCGTTCTGGAGGAGAGCTCTGCACTGAAGATCAAACACAGCCAGCTGGAGGAAGAATATGAAGCCCTGAAGATGGAAGTGCAACAGCTTAGAGAGGTCAGTCAATAGAGAGCCAGAAATAAATAGAAGGAAAAGAGGGGTAGAAGCTTAAAGAAGCAAGTTTTGAGGAATTGCTGCAAGAAGGAGCTTCTTTTTTCCAGAGAATGATTCACAAAATGGTTTACTGTTGTAGAATTTGTAATTTAAATGATTCGTTATGGCATAAGTAAGAGTATTTGTTGTCTAAATGTCCCTCAAATTTCTTTGGTTTCTTGCACACGAATAATTCTGCACACAAAACATTTGTGGTCAGCACAAATCTTGTTTATTAAGGCAAGTGAACCTGTATCAAATGTCATCTGGGTCATATTTCCTATTACCTTCAGTAGTTTTGTTTATTATTTTTGAGAATGAGGGCATATCACAACCTGTCCAAGTTGGCTTCTGAGAACAGATTAATTTTTTCCCATTTTGGACACAGAACCTTTCACACCAAGTTCTAATAGTATGGGTTTCTCTGCTTTTTCCATGGTGCCATGGTGACCCTATCAGAACAGACTTGCAACCAAATTTGTGTGCTTTTTTTCCATAAAGAGATTTTGTCCATATAACAATCAAGCATTGAGAAGACATGTCTTTGAGCTGTTACACAGTCAGCTTGGGGAAATGTTTCACACCCTTCTTCTGAATCATTGTCTTCCCTGTGTGATTCATATCCTTGTAGTCTTACAGATGGATAGTTTGCATACTCAAATGTTTTGTCTGGACAGTAGTACGATTTACTCTCAGTGAGCTGTTTTCCCTGTTTGTCAGTGTCATGTAGAATTTGTAATTTCATTTTAGGTTGAACACTCAGTTTGGTTATGATGGCCTTGCCTGATAGCTAAATTTGCAAGTGCGTTTCCCTTCAGATCTTATGTAACAACGTACAAATCAAAACTTGATATTTAAATGAAATGTTAATTACATAACATGGACACTTCTTTGGGACCCAGGGGTCTAACCAAAATTGGTTGGATATTTATATCCCTCTGCTTGACAGATGCAGGCACATGATGGCAACAAAAGAAAATGGTTTAGTTTTGATGATTCATTAAGCCAACAAAAAGCTTGATCTAGTGGCCTGTATGTAAGTATTTTGATAATATTTAATGGCTGAATATTTAATTCTTGGCTGAAACAATAAATTAATTAATATCTTTGTCCCACCTCCTTGTCCTTGTGAAATATTAGCTGAGAGCAATGCAAAGACTTTCCAGATTGTCATTTCCCCATAAAATAACAAAAACAAAACTTTTCTTTTGCCATATTGGTTAGTGTTTGAAAATATTTTATTTTTTGAGAATAAGGGGGTCTTTTTTTAAAACATTGCTGTTTTGTTTGGACATTACCATTTTAGGACAATTTTAATAGAGCACTCAATGTTCAGCCTGATCAGTTTATGTGGTCCATCCATGGCCAAAGTAGAAAACAAATAGACTGTAAGCCTGGCATGCACGGGCCTTTTTAGCTCTCTTTGTTATCCGATTTATTACATAAATCTGTGCCCCAAAATCCATGCTTTAAGTGTTTTGCAATAATTCAAAATTAGCAACACATTGAGGGCATTATATGTGCGCACATTATTGGTTTGCCAACTTCAGCTAATATGTCGCTCATTTTTTTTTTTATGTGAAGTTCACACGAGGCACATTGTGGACCCACCCCTCTGGTATGAAGATTAGGCTCATGTATTTCTCTCTCTGTGTGTGTCTGATTAGTAGAGCATGAAATTGGCAAAGTAGGTGAATGTGGTAGAGTGAGATAACTGGGGTGCACTGCACAGATTTGGGTCTAGTGCGCTAGAAAAAGCATGTGTGACAGTTGTAACATCCTAGAGTTGTACACATTGATTGCATCGTCATCGTCATCGTCATGTTTAGTCCTCCAGGATTCTACTAATAAATATTTCGGTTGAAAGAATAAATATTTTTTCTGAAATGGTTCTCCCACAAAGAAACATTTACTGCATCCATATATTTTTCCAAACCAATATTATTTTCCTTACTATCCTCCTACATAAAAGGCCGAATGTGTTGGGCAGAATGTCTGAGCTGCTCTATTCCATACAGTGGCTACAACAATAGTGTGATGAAGCCCAAGGCCATTGGTTTTTGTGTGTTGTTTAGATTTGAGAGCTCTTGTGATTAGCAGATTAGAGTTTTTATAGTAGCTAAACCTAAAGCTATTGAAAAATGTTAAATAAAAAGAAAATAAAATATAAAATAAACGTATTTATTTCAGCTAGCTTCCAAAGCAGCATTTCCCATTTACATTTAGTTTAATATATAGAAACTATAATAAAAATGACAAAAAACACAAATTACTAAAACTTTTAACTGAAAAATGAAAATGGTAAATATGAAATTAAAATATAAATAAAGGCTATAATATTGTCTCTTAATGATACTAGTGTGACACTGATTTGTGGTGAGTTACAGTGAATTTTTTGGTTCTTGTTTCTCACACAAAGCCATCACATAGCTTCAATCAGAACCATAGACCACTTTTGATCCTTTTGTGCATTACATTGGAATTATACTTAACCTTCTGCTTTTGTTGTATGGAATAAAGCTTCTGAGATATTCTAACATCCCCTTTTGGGGTTCACGCAAGGAAGTCATTTTGAGGGACATGAGGAAAAGCAAATCTTCATTTTTTGGTGAACTAGTCTTTTAAAAAGCATGTACTTCTTTTACATTTACTGAACAGAAGTATAAATTCCCCTGAGGTATAAATTCTCCCTCTTCAGTCTGCCTTTCATCATTAATTATAGAGTAGCACAAGCATGATTTTCCCACATGTTCTCACACGACATAAATTATAGTGTTCAGAGAAAAGAGTGTGGCTATGTTAATGACAACCTGGCCAGTGTTGATTCATCTTATAAAAGTTGACTTCAGTGTGAGCAAATATGGTGTATGTTTGTTACTATTTGTCCAAGTGCTACAATGGCCAATAACACTTTATTTTAAGGTTACTAGTATAATAACAATAAATTGTGCATAATTACATGCAAGTAACCCTAATCCTAACCATATAGTAAGTACATGTAGTTAATTCATATTTTTCAGTACTTTTAGATGTATAATTACACTGTAACAAGGACACCTTAAAATGAAGTGTAACCCAGCGGCCTTAGCATGAACTAAACGCATTGTAATTACACCCTCTGGTTGCTAGTAAAGCTGGAATGTAATGTAGTGTCATGGGTAAAGTATAGAGTTTCACTTCGCTAGCTCTCAATACAGTTGCCATTGTTTATTGGCTAGGCGAGTAAACAAATTATTCAAAATAATTAAAGATTGACAACTTAATTTTCAACAGCTCTGCTGTTCTCATTTGAAGAATTTCAGAAATTTACACAAAGTAGCTGAGGGGCCGTAAATTGTGTCAGCGATGCTTGTTCATTTAGCCAGTCAGCTAAATTGTTTTGTTTCTTCTTGGCCAAACCTCTGCTAGTGTAACTCAGTGTCTTGGCTGTGATGGAGATGAGTGGTTGATTGATGTACAGTATGTGTATATGTTTACAGGCTCTGGCAGACTCTGTGAGCAGCCATAAGCGTGCAGCCGCAGATGGGGAAAGTCAAGAAGAGAGGCTCCTGCAGGAGTCGGCCACTAAAGAGGCAGCCATGGAGATTTGCATGGACGAGCTGCAGGCGGAGCTTAAACAGGCCCGTGTCATGCTGGCCAACACCTCGGCTGAAAACGAGCGACTGGCCGGCCTCTCCACCCAGCTGAAGAAGGTACATACACCACCATCAATTAGAAGGCTAGTGTTTACATAAAATGTGCATTCCTAACCACAAGATGAATGATCACCTTACTGCCTTTCTTATGTGAGCTGTACAATGAGATTCATTTTCTAAAAGAAGCAATATTTATGTGTAACAGAAAAATGAAATGTTCTGAGCTGAAATAACATGCACTCTTCTGGCTCGCTTGCTGATCAAAGTAAAAGTGGAAATAAGACTCCTTGTTTTCATGATCATGTGACAAAACCGGGTTGAGTTTCAATGTCAGCCTGAAGAGAAGGGAGGCCATTGTGAACTACTTATTGGACTATTGTACTGGACAAAACAAATAATTTCTACTTTTAAGTAAAGTTCTTTAATAATCAAATCTTCTCTGCCCTCTAATGAGAGATGAGTTGATTCCTATTCTAAATCGGCTTGCAGTCTCTGCAAAAATATAGTGCATGTGTCATGCCAGGTTTGATGTCAGTGACTGCTTTCATTGTTTAATTGTATGAAAAATGCACCTGGGACTGCTAAACTTCACCTTTTGTATTTCGAAGTAAGGTCTGGAATGAGATGTAAAATGTAAATCATATAATACATTTTGTGTGAACTCCGTTTAGAGAATTTGTATTAAATGGAACAAAGAGACCATAAACACTAAAGCTGCAGCATTTTATGAAGCTTCCAACATGTAATTGTGCAGATCTAATTTCTCTTCAGTTTATTTTTATTTTATGGACTTCCTCTGTCTGACTACTCCTGCTGACTCTAGGAGTGTGAGTGCTTGGAGGTGGAGAAGAACCGAATAAGAGAGGAGATGAAGGAGTACAAGATTCGAGAGGTGCAGCAGCTTCAGGATAACAGTGAGCTGGAGGAGGAGAACATCTCTCTGCAGAAACAAGTCTCAGTGCTTAAGGAGAACCAGGTGTGAGAATGGGGATCTCATATTTAAGCATTGTTTGTGGTGTTGTTTTCTGTATTTATTGAATATCCAACTTTTTCCATAAATATTTCATAGTAACCCTCTGATGCATTATCAATGCACATCATACATCGTGATGCACATCAACATGTAACATTAATCACTTTCTTGTAGTGTTTGTTAGACTTAAGTCTTTGCTTGTGGAATTGCTTCGCTGGAGATGTCTTGTGACTTTGAATGTGTTTTTTGCAGCTGCTGTCACGGCAGTACAAACACTTCTGTTGTAGTGCTTCAGTCTCAGCTGATTTTTAACAAAGCCTTCCTTCTGAGGGACTGCACACGAGAACGGTTTTATTCACAGACATTCAGAGGCTGGAACGCCTTCCCTGTTGGACTAAAAACTGGTTTGCTCAGGGTGAATTCAGACAGTAAATATACAAATAAGCTAAGCTGAGATGTCCTTGACTTCAGTAACTAGACTAGTTATAGTGAATTAACTCAAAAATGACATGTCATGATGCCACCAATTCTGATCATATGCAAAGTTTTGGAATTGACACTGTGTGAATGCTAACACTTGAACCTGTTTGGTGTTAAAGGAATAGTTCAGCCAAAAATTACAATTAGTTGAAATTTGAATCACCCTTTAATGTACTGTAGATGTTTCTTCATTGGAACAGATTTGGAGAAATGTAACATTACTTCACTTTCTCACCAGTGGATCCTCTGCAATGAATGGGTGCCTTCAGAATGAGAGTCCAAAAAGCAAAAAAAGAAGAAAAATCTACAAATTTGTTCCAAAGAAGAAACAAACTCACCAACATCTTAGATGATCTGAGGGTGTGAATTATTCTTTTAAAATTGGTAGGGATGCACGATATATCGGCCACCATATCGGTATCGGCCGATAAATGCTCATTTTTTCTGTTATCGGTATCGGCCCAATAAGAAAATTTGGCCGATATAAATTGGTTTATAGATATTTTGATATTAATGCTCCCAAAATGCATGGCATTAAACTAGTTATTCAGTTCTGTTGTTTATACACTGTGATATTAATATAAATGTGGGTGTCATTTCCTGGGTGAATTCAGAAAGTGGTGCAATAGTCCAGCAACGGCTGTGATGTCATGAAGTGGATACAGATCTGGCTTTGTTTACTGTAATTTGTCATAGAAATGGGATCTAGTTATCAGTCAATATTATGGTTATTGTTTGTATATTACTGTGGTCATTAGTTATATGATGACAGATCAGTAAAGGCAGGCTAATCCAGCCTAATAAATTAGTACTGTGCTGGTATGTTTTGGGGGAAGGGAGCTAGTGAGCTACATAGGATGCAGACAAGTGGAACGTTTCAGTGTATGACTTCTTGTAACCCTAGTCAAATTGTTTGGTCTTTTCTTTAGGGTTTTTGTGGTTAACTAAAATTGTTTTCAGAAACTGAAATTGAAAAAAAAAAAATGAAAAAATTTAAATAGAAATATTAAAAGAAAGAACATATTTAGTTAATTGTCATGGTAACAGTTTTTCAAATTAAAGTGCTAAAATTGCTCAAATAAAACTGAATAAAACTTTAAATTGAATATATATATATATATATATATATATATATATATATATACACACACACTAATAAAATGACAAAGGCACAAAAAACTTTTCATCCAAACTAAATATTCAAGTCTTTGAAACCTTTATATCTAGTTTTTCATCACATAATACAAATATATGTGCTTTACTACTACAACTAGATTTAGAGAGACGATCACATATTAAACATCTACATTTGTGTCCACAGGGGGAGTTTGAGTCAGTGAAGTTGGAGTTGACCCATAAAGATGAGGAGCTAGAGCTGATGAGGGCACAGCTAGAAGAGGCCGGGCGTTTGAGGGAGATTGCAGAGCGTCAGCTGGATGAGGCACTTGAGGCCCTGAAAGAGGAGAGGGAGCAGAAGAACAGCCTGAGACGAGAGCTCACCGCCTTTACCCTCAACCCTTTTGACTCTTTTGGCCACTTAGAGCTACAGCTGGATGACAGCCGGAATGGAGAGAAGGACAAGGAGGGAGGAGAGGAGGAGGAGGAGATGGACAGTGGGTATAATAACTCCAAAGGGATGGAGAGAAACAGGTGCTCCACACCCAGAAACAGCGGCGTTTTCCTCAGACCTCAGGCGCCTGGGCTGGTGGCCGATCTCCTGAGTGAGCTACACCTGTCAGACAGCCAGAAACTCAAGCAGCAGCTGCTGCAGGTGAGGAAACCTGTTCATATCCTACATGCTCCTCACTTCATGAGCTGTTGCAGATTTTTCATATCAAAGCTTCATTACTGGAGACTTTCTGAGAATTATTTGTCTTGTGTTTTTCTTCCTGACCTTGTTTTGCATACACTGACATACAAATTTAACTTAGCAAATTGGGTATCCGATGCATGTCTTTCTTATTTTGACACTAGATCTGCACAATGTTGCATTGCAAATTCTACACTCAGCCACCTCGGCCAACCTGTAATAGCAATAGGCACCATGAATCAGTACTTTTAAGTTAAGGGATGTTGTTAGGAGCGGAGACCCTTAAAACCCCCTTAGCTGTTCTAAAATTACCATAAATCATGACAAATATATAACCAAGTTCTCAGAAATGTACATCCATCAGCATGACATTGGTTTCATTATTCTTGAGAAGGTGGGAGCAAGTGAGGTTCATATTGGCTGATGCCAATCTCTTCAGATCTAATCTCAGACCAAAGATTAAAAGATTCAAACCCTGTGATGTAAATGCCTGTAAAATGGTCATGTGGGGTTTCTCATTTTTAACTCCGCAGTTTCATGCATGAAACCATCATCTGACAGATGAATACTACTTCCTGTTTCATACCACTTCCTGCTCAGATGTACTGTACCATCAAGTCAGTTACTAAGAAACAAGTGTTTTTCACCCACCCAGATAGTCCAGTTTTTTTTTTTATTATTAAAATGTATAATCAATGATTATATTGATTGATTATAATGATTATTTTTAAGTTACATTTTTGACTTTCTGCCCGTGTTGTATTCGAAAGTTAGGAGAGAGGGAATGGGAGTGGGAAAAGATACTGGGTTACTAAAAGTGCTGTGATTTTCATAATTTATGATATTTTACTAAAACCAAAAAAAAATATGAATGAAATTTAAAGCCCTTTAATTAGCATAAATCATTCTAAAGTGGTCCTTCCTTAAAAGACTTAGTTCTAGTGTCATTAGTAAGTTTCTCTTGAGTGTTGTTGTTTATCCAAAACGCTTGGATTGAATTAGTCAATCAGAATAAATCTTCATGATACTTGTTTTTGAGAGCCCATATTGTTTGTGTACCCATGTCCAGGTGGAGAGAGAGAAAGCCACACTGAGCAGCACTGTGCATGACCTCCAGCAGCAGTTATCCCAGTCTAAAGATGCTCTCAGTGAGCAACAGGTGAAGATGGAACAGCTGAGCCAACGTTTGGAGACCCTTCAGAGTACTGCCTCGAAAAGGCCTGCTGAACGAAAGAATGGAATGAGCCCGTCTCCCAGGCCTCTTCAGAACCAAGAAGCCGAAAATGGCATCAGCTACTATGAAGTGGATGCCAAAAGCACAGAGGTGCTAGAGTGCCGCATGCAAGCGGCAAATGAGGAGCTTGTGCGTCTGCATGAGGAGCTGAAAGAGACTGGCGAACGCTCCAAAGCCCTGGAGGAGCGCTACAAGCAGCAGAAAGAACGCTGGAGGGGTGAGGCACAGGAACTCGCTGATAAAATACGACAGTGTATCGCTGCTAGCTGTCAGGATCAGGAGCGAATTGGACAGTTAGAACGGGAAATTGGTGCCACACGACAGGTCGCCACTGACTCTGAAGGCCACCTCAGTGCTGCGCAGGAGGAGCTTCTGGCCTTCTCTGAGGAGCTGGCCAACCTTTACCATCATGTGTGTGTTTGTAACAACCTCACGCCCAGTCGCGTTACACTGGATTACTATCGTGAAGGAGCACAAGCGGGGATGACGCACAACCATTCGCAGCCGCACCACTATCGCGGATCCCTCCGCAGGCACAGGCGGTCGGGTGAAGTGTTGGACCTGGGCAGTGGAGGAAGCGGAGACGCATCATCTAGCTGCGGAAGTTGTCCAGGGTCTCCTACACTAGACTTCAGGGACCCAACCAATGTGCGCAATCTGGTAGCTGTCATACGATGCCAGATTAAACATTTACAGGTATGTCTTGTGTCATTTCTTATTCACTTTTCATTTGTTTTCCCATTTCACTTTAATCGCAACAACCTTAGCTTTTGTTTTAATTGCTCCCTTATGTTGAATTTAGGGGGCATTTTGGTTCATCTTGATGGCATTTCTGCCCAAGTGCCTAATTTACAACCTGGTTTCAGCTCTTTGTTGTAGTTATATAGGGCCCTATGAAATGCAATTTATTTCTTCACAAAGTCAGTTTTTTTATTTCTTAATTCTGTTTTTTTTTCTCCACTTTTAATTTTTCTGGATTCAATTTTTTCCATTTTATTTTTTCTAGACTCCAAATGGTTACATTACATTTTATCAATCAAAACGCATGCCTAGTTAATTGAAATCATGAAACTTACACAATGTAACTGCAAAAGTTTAACAAAAATTTAAATTTTAAAGCACTATGAAATGCATTTTATTTTTTTCTCAAATTTAGTTTTATTTGACCAAATTCTGTGTTTTCCATTAATTATCTGGATTCCATTTTAATGGTTTCATCCAACTTTATTTATTTTTTCCAGAAATACTGTATTGTGTCTTTACATTTTTCTGGTCATTAAATTCTGGTAAATATTCCTTAAAATAATGTTTTAATAATCATTTTACTATAGTACTATCATTACATTAGGCTATGTAATATATTTGTCACAGTTTCTTCAAGTTAAACCGAACTTTTATTTTGATGGGTTGTTTAAGTTTTTCTGTTTATATTATATGATGATAGATTTTCTCAAAGAAACGCTCACGAAGTGACTCTCAGAGCAGTTTTAGAAATTATTTTCATGTTCATGTACTCGGCAGAGGCTGAAATCACCGCAAGCATCATGCGTGCTTCATTATGTGTGTAGTAAACAAAACCATTCGTCTGTGCCATTCATTCAGTCACACAGAACATGCAGGATTCATATTTAAATATAGTAGTATTTTGCGGCTTAATATTCACAGACACTAGTCCATATACATTTTGATTTAAGTGTACTGACCTACTTTTGATTTATTCATCCAAAATTCGGCAAATTCTGTGACATTCAACATGATACAGTAAATTCCATTTTTATGGCTGGATTCCACGATTCCGTCCGTGTTTTCTGCAATGTGGAAATCATAGGGCCCTGTAGTTAAAATTGAAAGGTAATATAATATGGTAATATAAGGAAGTGTACACACAACAATTTTATATTGTAATGTATCCTAAAATGCTTTTTAAATAAGGATAGCTGAATAAAGTTATGACTCATCATTGGAACATTTCATTTAAGCCTTTAAGCAGCAGCTTTTTTTTTTTGGAGAGGTAAAGTATGAAATATGAACCGATTAGACCAGGCTGCCTTAGGATGCCTGCCTGAATCTGTTTTAACAACAACATTCAGATTATAGCTGCACTTTTGCTTTCAGTCAACTCAAGAAAACAAAATAATGTTGAAATCATGGCAATATCAGTATCTAAATCTGTTTTCTTTATTGGCATTTTTGACTTCATTTTCTGTTTTTATACTATGATCATAAATATTTTAATATGTCATGCATTTTATATTGTTTTGTAATTCACTTTGTCTAGCTCTTTAGTCACCATGTGCTATATAAGTATTTTTACTTCTTTTTTTAAACTTTTCCAGGTGGCAGTGGACCTGTGCAGGCGGCGTAACCTGTTGTCCTCTCCAGCAGCAGGAGGGAGCACTGAAGCAGACCGTGACACAGAGGCACTGATTGAGGAGGTGCTAAAACTGAAGTCCCTCCTGAGCACCAAGAGAGAGCAGATAGCCACGCTCAGAACTGTCCTAAAGGCCAATAAACAGGTACAGATGTTAGATATGTATTTATTTATTGCCAAACAATGTAGTTGTCTGAAATTCCTTGGTGAGCTCAAAAACAAAAAACAATCACATTCGTACATACATAAATTATTCCAACCATTATAAAGAATGAAATGCAGATGCATAAGTGCCAAAAACATGGAGCATCCTACAATAGGCACTGTTCAAAAAGCATGCAGACTTAAAGGGTAAAGGAATAAAAAAAATGTCTGGCCGGATGTGTGGGATCTCTAAGAATTAAGCCTTTTCTCTGCAAACGTGAGACATAAATGTCATCAATGGTGGACAGATCACAGCCTATAATATGTAACCCATTGAATGCATACTAAATAATAAAAATGTAGCCTACTTAAAGGTCTAGTAAAATTAAAATTAATTTTTACATTTCAGCCCTGCTTTTCAGTTTTATTTCTTATCAATATAGTAGCCAGTTTAAATATTTTAACAGGAAATGTACATTGTTATTGACAAGGGTGTCAGTAGGTTTCAGAGCAGATACAAAAGTGACCAACATTTTTGTTTAATCAAGTGAGAATCATTAATAACCATTGCTGATACTCTTTAAATGGCCAAAATAAGGTGTCTAGGGCAAAATAGTTTGAATAGTTGTGTGAAATGTACCATATTTTACACTGCTGTTTGGAGAATGTTCCTAACTCAAGCACATGGTTTCCTTTAATCAGGGTGTCCTTAAAAAATCTTAAAATGTCTTAAATAACGTTTTCCTAATATAAGGCCTTAAAAAGTCTTAATGTCTTAAATTCGCATTCGATGGGTCTTAATTATTTTTGGTCTCATTACCGCTAAAATGTCTTCAGTCTGATGGAGCTAATGACTTTACAATCATTGGACAGACCGACCCGCGGTAAGTTGCTGCGTCATCAGAGAGAATTGCAGTAAGTTAGCAGAATACTGAATACAAGCTCGCGCTGAGGCTCACTCTGTTTGTCTCGAGACTTCAGAACAAATGAGCGTGACAGCACACATAAACTCAGAAGAAACACACTATTCAAAATGTTTAGTTTAGTCATAGCATGATATAGTTAAATAACACCCATGACAAGTGAGCTATTTTACTCAATATTCTCACGGCGCAAAAAAAACAAACATTCAAAACGCCTACAGAGCGCACGCATTACGTGAAGTTTAGTGCGCGTGCGCATTTGCAGTGCGCTCTGCCTGATAGTTAAATAACACCCATGACAAGTGAGCTATTTTACTCAATATTCTAACGACGCAAAAAAACAAACATTCAAAATGCCTACAGAGCGCACGCGCATTACGTGAAGTCTAGTGTGCGTGCGCATTTGCAGTGCGCTCTGTCTGATCACTGCATGATTCAGTCTATTAAAATACATTACCATATACAAATGTGAGATTAATTTTTTTACAACAGTTCAATAAAGTTTTATTAAGAGACTTATGGTTTAGACACCATATTGCCTGTTTTTGCACTATTTCGCCAACAAAAATAATTCCAAACAAAGCCACAGCGCTGTTTTGCGTCTCTGAGCAACATGATGGTGTTTCGTTCCTGAATGAATCAACCGTTTAAATGATTCAGTTCAGTCGCAATGACTCGCTTAACAGTGACTTACTGCCACCTACTGGCGGTTTTAATTTCACATTTAAAGTATCTTTTCATTTTTTTAATTATTTAAAATATCAGTATTCAATGTTTAATATATCAAAACATTATTTATGCATTTGTAACTGCAGGTTAAATGCATTCATGTCCTGCATTAAACAGTGTGTAAACACATCTAAATGCCACTTCAGGTGCAGCTTATGTCTGGATTGCAAAGATGAATTTTGTTGATACTGATTTAATTTGCTTGGTAACAGCCCAAATGTCTTATTCTTATTCACTGATTAAATGTAAGAATTTGACTCAAAAGATAATGCACACTTATAGAAAAATTATAAAGTTAAAGGCTTTATAAAGGTAAAATGCCCATGAAAGGTAAAAATCTATTTAAACTTATCTGACCACCACAAAGAATATAAAGAATATCAAAAACTTTAGGAGTCAGCTGTCCATGAAAGTCCTTAAGATACCAGCATGATAACACACTCAATCAGTTGAATGAATGACTCAATACTCACTCATTAAGTGATTTACCGTCACTTACTGGTAGATTAGTTGAAAAGTTTGTTGAAAAATATGCATTTTTCCACTCAACATTTCTTATTTGTATATTCATAAATGCATTTAAAACATTAATCTCATAACATTATTTATTGCAGTTGTAATTATTGTTATTTGCAGTGTAAATTATTTAATCTGACTGGCAGCAGCTCTATAGTGTATATTGAATTTATTGATAAATTGTAATAATTTGACATGTAAGATGATGCATACATCTAAAAAGGTTAATAATAGGCCTTTGTGAAGGTAAATATGTGGATTTAAGTATGTAAAAACGGATAGAACACTGATGAAAATATTGCTTCAGAATAAATTTTTTACTCCACCAAAAATCTCAGTGATGCAGTTATTTTGTGGGGATATTTTGTATGGAATATTGTCTGCTGACAAAGTTCACTGTATATCATAGTAATAAATGCCATTTATTACAGCATTGATATTTTTTTTATTTTTAATTTATTCACATTAAATATTACATATATGTATGTAATAAAATGTGTATTTCCATTACAGGTTTAGGTCTTAAATTTCATGTAAGGTGGTATTAAAAAGGTCTTAAGTCTTACATTTAACTTGTTCAAGTCTGCAGAAACCCTGTTTAATGTTAATCAGATCATATGACTGCTTTACTATTTTTCATTTTTTTTCCTCAGACGGCCGAGTTGGCTTTAACCAACCTGAAGACAAAGTATGAGACTGAGAAGAGTATGGTGACAGAGACTATGATGAAGCTGAGAAATGAACTGAAGGCCCTGAAGGAGGATGCAGCCACCTTCTCCTCCCTTCGCGTCATGTTCGCAAGCAGGTATGATGGGATTACGCATGCGTCAAGTGCTTTGTGTGCTCGCGGGCCATGAGAGCTTCTCAGGTCATTGTCCGTACAGCACATAACTCATTTCCAGTGAAGGATGTTTGGGATTTTAAGGTTAAACTGGTTGTTTGTAAACTGGTTTGATTTATGGACAGAGTGCAAATAAGTTCATGGGAGAAGTTGATTCTCTCAGTTCCAGCTTTCCCTTGTCAATTGAGGAACAACCGATCAATTTTAGTTATCATTTTTGCTGATGGGTCATCTTGGGCTGTCTGATAATACATAAATCATCAGCTGACCTGATGTAAAGATTTATAGACTTTTTAGTCACAATACAACCCGCACTGTGGTGAAAGAGATGCAGGTATTGTTTGTTTACATTTGTAGAACGTTTGCATAGAGAGTCATAGAGATTAGACAGTCATGACCCTGTTTTAAGAGCAAGCTAATAAGATTATAATCTTAAGGCCCAGTCTCTCATGAGCTCTCTGATCCCGTGTGCAGACGAGAGCAGCTCACTCAGAGCTCAAGTCATAGATCAAGTGTCAAGGGAACAGAGAGCAGTGGAAGTGAGGATAAAGTTTTCAGTCAAGTAACTGTAAAAGGAAAAATCTAGACCTCCTTAGAACATTTATACAAACTCATATGGTATGAAACATTTCATCAAGAATAATTAAACCTGAGATAAATGCAGATTTTTAAGCTTTCAACCAACTAGTGGTCGCCCGATATTGGTTTTTTGACAGCCGATGCCGATATCTTGGAAAGCAGGATGGCCGATATAATTTTATTTATTTTAATTAATATTTAAGAAATTTGAAATAATTTGAAAATTGATTAAAAAATAAATGTTAAATAAACATACTTATACTTTAGATGACCAAGTATTTTTCACAAATTAAATATTTAATAAAAATATAATTAAAAAGGAAGTAAACACTGTCACCAACAGGGCACTCAGTATTCTGGGAAGTTTGTGTGCATTAGTCATATTTTTTTCAAATAAAGCCAAGGTAACACTCATTTTACACACAGCACACAGTGGAAATTACATGAATATGACAGTGGGCAAATGCATAAAGCGCAGCATAATTTAAAATCACGAGTTTAAAGTTTGTTGATCACGCATCTCCAGTGAAGCTAAACTCTCCTCCTGTCCGCATTACATTCGCACAGATCGACCGTCACGCAGAGAACACGCAATCATGCAGGATACAAATGCACACTTCACAAGATCTCACAACTGGATCCGACTAAGTTTGCAAGGTTTTTGAAATAAGATGTTCATTAGTCATTCCAAGATTTGTTTAAATGATATAAATGCATATTTGCTGAATGCTGACGGCAAACAAGAAAGTATTATAATGTTTGCTTTTCTATTAATATAAAAGCAATCGTTGTAATTCTTTGTATACATTTTAATTCCTTTGTTTAACCGTTCTATCTGATTATTAGACAGACTTCTATCTGCATTTAGACAGAACTGTTAATGACAGCAGCGAACAAGAGGGAGAATGTAAGCACTGTGTGCTCAGGCGCTGCCGTTCTCAGCGCCGTCAAAATAAAAGTCCCGCCTAGAACGCATCGGCCAAACAGGAAAACTCGGCCGATATTTGGCATTTTTCTTAAATATCGGCATCGGCCTTGGCGATATATCGGTCGACCACTACAACCAACCACATAACTTGTTGAAACACTTTTCATCAGTTGATTAATTTCACAATTCTTTAATGATTTCAGTAAATATGATTTAAAATCAAGTTTATAGCAGCCATTTTGATGTGCATGTTATTTATTGTCTTTAAATAAAGTGATAACATGCATGATTTGTGAAAAGTTTGGAGTCAGTAAGAATTGGAAATAGTGAAAACAGTAATATTGTGAAATATTACAATTTTAAAAAACTGTTTAAAATATTTTAAAATTTAATTTATTCCTGTGATCAAAGCTGGATTTTCGGCATTATTATTACTCCAGTCTTCAGTGTCACATGATCCTTCAGAAATCTTTCTAATATGCAGATTCGCTGCTCAAGAAACATTTATTATTATTACGAATGTTAAAACAGTTGTACATAATACACATATTTTGTGGAAATGGTAGTAAATATTTTTTTTTTGTCAGGATTCTTTGATGAATAGAAAGTTTATTTAGCATTTATTTGAATTAGAAATATTTTGTAACATTATACAACTTTACTGTCTTTACTGAAATTTTCATCAATCTAATGCATCCTTGCTAATTGCTTAAACTGACCGCAAACTTTTAATCAAGGTTCGTACAAGGTGCTTGAAGTACTTGAATTTGACTTTTTGAAATGTAAGTCCTGAAAAAAACCCTTGAAAACAGCCATATTTATGAAAAGGTACTTGAATGTTTAAAAGGCAGTATAAATTAAATTAGTGTTAATTTTTCAGGGTTTCCGCGGGTCTTAAAGGGGTCCTATTATGCTCTTTTATAAAGTCTTGATTTTGTTTTGGGGGTGTACTAGAACATGCTCTCATGCTTGGTGGTTCATAAAAACGCATTATTTTTCACATAATTTACATTATTACAATACCTCTCTCCCCAGGCTGGCACAAACGGCTCGATTAGTTCCGGCTTTGATGAAGGTCCGCCTTCCAAAAAACAAAATGTGATGTGATTGGTTAGCTGTCCCAGTGCGTTGTGATTGGCGAACAGCTTAGACGGTGTTTCAGTACTGCCCCGCCTCTTGCTCCGTCTTTCAACAAAAGCTTTTGGCGAATCCGGCACTTCTCACTGTGATGTGGAAGCTGTCCTCAGTAAAATGTGCAGCACATAATAGCAAATTGGGGTTACAATGCTCAGGAACAGAGTTCAAAAGTAAATTGCAACCACTGTTTCCTGACATCATCCGCTTTCGGAAGTGAAAAAAAACAGCGTTTCAGGCGGTCGCACACCGGACGAGAAGCGCAGCGTTGCGCCACGTCTTTAACATTCAAATACATTATCTTCTATGAGTGTAGGTACACCGGCGGCGTCTGTCCGCGGCGCCCAGCTACATCGTGTTATACTTGTAAGAATTGTTCTAGACCAGCGGTTCTCAATTCCAGTCCTCGCGTACCCCCACTCTGCATGTTTTGCACGTCTCTCTTTGTTAACACACCTGATTCAGATCATCTCGTTAGACGTGAGCTCAGTGTCAATGCTACCTACACAGTGTGCATTGCTCCCTACTCCCTGAGCAGGGGAAATCCATTGAAGTTTACTTCACTTCGGAATATTCATTTACATGCGCTGCGGCACTGCCTGCAGCGTCTTCACACACAAACGAAACTTACTAGAGAAGCGTGAAGTGGGACATAATATACCTCTGTAAATAAAGTCAAATATAACAAATGTATGAAGCAATAAGAGAAACACACAAAATGTGCGGAGCGGGGGTACGTGAGGACTGGAAATGAGAACCGCTGTTCTAGACATGCCAAAAATTTGAGGCTACAGCACAGCAGCTCTTCTTGGTTTTCTCTGACGCACTAACTCTGCAACAGCTCTTCTTCTTCGCCGTCTCGTCTAATGCGCTCACTCAACCTAGCGTTCTAACCACGACCTCGCCCCTCCCCACCCCCCAACCATTTGAATTTCTGTAGGCGGGAATTCTTTGTAATGAAATTCTAATGAGCCGCTTTGTGATATCACAAAGCCCGGAAACCAAACGCTGTAGTCCAAACGAGCCGTTTGGTGTAGTTCTTGAAAAATTATTTTTTTAAAACTAAATATCTCCCTTTGGAGTGGACTTTGAGATTTGTAACTTTCTAGATCTTTTATATGCCCAAACATACACACTACACACTGACTAAAATTAAAAAAGTGAAAAAGCATAATAGGACCCCTTTAAAGTCTTAAATTTAGTTGTATCAAATTTAAGGCCTTAAAGTCTTAAATTGTACAAGAAAGTCTTAATTATGATATCAAGAGGTCTTAAATTTGGGGATGGAAAGACCAAAATTGCTATATGGTTGAATGTGACGATTAAACTTCAAAAGGCTATGATTTCATGAAATAAACATCAGCACTGCACGTTCAAAGTCCAGTGCTGCGCTGCTTTGTGTTCTACCGTTACTAGGGAAACAGTTATTTCTACCAAATGCTCCACCTGCTGGCAGAGAATGAATGAGCATTTTCAATAAAACTGTTGTTTTGTTCAGAGTTCAGACAAATGCGAAAATCGACCCATGTTTTTACCCTGCAAATACGCAGAGCTTTAAATGTGAACTGATTGATTGATAAGAAGACAATGCATTATAAAAATCTAATGGGGGTGTGCGATATGCATGGTCTGCGATGGGGTCGACTGATATGTGTTTTTCAGGGCTGATGCCGATACCGATTATTACATATCAAGTAGACTGATAACCGATATTTTGAACCAATATATATGTCTGGTGTAAAAATTAAAAAAGGAATGTCAAAATTAAGAATACCAAGGGCTCTGACAAAAACTGTCTTTCCTGGTGTTGGTTGAGTGTAGTACTCCCACACTGCACTTTTTACTCTTGTCTTCCACTGTGCATCCATCTACAATAAGGGTAATATAAAGAGAGAGTTAAAAGTGGGGCCACTGTATGCTTCATGATTAAGCCTATGAATACTGTACTACAGCTAAACAGCTTGGGGAAATGTAAGTATTTGGCTTCAATAATTGACATGTTAGAAATGTATGTGTAATAGCATAACCTCTCATAATACCTCATTAATTATTTTCTGATTAAAAACTAAAACTGACTAAAACTTAACCTACAATAGTAGAGGTGAATATTCAATTCATCATCTAATGCACATCAATGGATTAACTTACAAAATGCATATAAGTGTAAATAATTTAATTGTCTTCATAGCTATATTGTAGAAGTTGTTAAGAAGACTGCAACTATTTTCATGAAACTATAACACTAATAACCTTTTACAGGCACACTTCGTTCAATAGCCTATTGAAATGTCTTGGCCTATGTGACACTAGAAATTTCAGTTAG